TGTCTAAATCTCTCATTTCATCCAGAGGCCTCCTGCAGGGATCTCCTGACTCACCTCACCTGTGGGGATGGGGAAGGGGCAGGAAGATGGGGGAGGGTGAGCCTGGGGATGGGGGGGGGCTCTGTGCTCACCCCCACCCTGTCTTTTCTGACATGGGCAGTGTTGCCTCCATGGGCAGCTTCGACTCCGAATCATAGGCTGCTACAATTTTAAACTCTTCGAATCCAGGAATGTTGAGTGTTTCATGGGATGTGTGAGCCCGACCTCGCCAGGAGCATACCAGGGCTGAGGGGCCCTCAGGATTCTCCCTGGTCCCACTGGGTTGGGTGCTCAGGGCTCGGATGGGGACTCTGGTCTCCCACATCCTCCCGCTCTCCCTGCAGGTGGAATGCAAGGCCGTGATGGTTTTCTTCCACTACTGCGTTGTGTCCAACTACTTCTGGCTGTTCATCGAGGGCCTGTACCTCTTCACCCTGCTGGTGGAGACCTTCTTCCCCGAGAGGAGATACTTCTACTGGTATACCATTATTGGCTGGGGTAGGTCACCATGAGGTACCTCATGGCCAGGTATGTCCATGGTGCTGCCGTCAGGGAGTGCCCCGTCAGAGGAGGCCAGCACGTCCCTGCCCCGCTGATGGCACACACTCCTGGTTCTTGGGCCCTTCCCTGTTCTTCCTGCCCGTAGGGAGCCCACTGTCTGAGGGCGAATGTGCTCAGGAGTCCTGAGAGGCCAGGTAGCCCATGGTCTGGGGGAGACATGAGCCCCTAGGAGGCCTGGCTGTGAGGGTTCCCAGTACTCCAGGTCTAAGAGGGAGATATGCCCTGTGGGACAGAACCCCAAGGCTGAAGGGGGACGATGGCCACCAGGAGCCCCAAGTCTGAGGGGGACATTGGACCTGTTGGTTTTCCTGTTATCATGGGGCTCCTTTTCCTGCTTTCCCAGGGACCCCAACTGTGTGCGTGTCGGTGTGGGCTGTGCTGAGGCTCCACTTTGACGACATAGGGTGAGTATGTGCCCAAGGGCCAGGCCGGAGCCCTGACNAGCCCCCCAGAGGTGGCCTTGGCCACAGAGGGGGGATTCTTTCAGTAACATGGGTGCTGGAGCCCCTTTTCTGTAGATGTCTATTGTACACAATTTCCCAGCCCCTGAATCCTGTGAAAGAAAGAAGCATCACTTATTTCCTGATACTCCAGATGAACTCCCAGGAAGCCCGCCTGGGAACAGGGGTCAGTGTGGGGCCACACTCAGGTGCTGGGCTGGAGCAGAGGGGGCACTTGCCTTCTCCCTACCCCTGGACATCCGCAGGTCACCGTACAGATAGATGATCAGGACAGGGGAGAATGAAATGAACAGTTATTAAAAGTCCAGAACGGGCCCAGGTGGGGTCAAAACCAGCTTGGCCTCCGCTGTGCCACCAGCAAATGACTCCCGTCCCCTCCAATGTCCCACAAAATGGCCTTGGAAGTTGACCAAAGAAAAGGTATATTAGTGATAGGAAACAGACCTCTAAACCTGGAAAAGCAAAAGTTCTCTTTTTAAAAAAGAAACCTAAGTATATATCTTAATAAGATCTGGTGCTAGGTTGATGGAGGTCTGGTTCTTGTTAATTCATCAAGCCATGTGTCCCCTTGGTGTGGGGGTGTTGCAGCTACTGGAAGACCCAGAGCTCCTAGTGGAAGTGTCCCCTTGGGTTGAGTTTCTCAAGGTGTGATGGGAACTCTGCTCCCAATCACCTGAAGAGATTCCTGGACCACAACCCCTGGTGACGGGTGTGTTGGATCTGATATCCACGTTTGTGATCCCTGCTCACTGAACTTTGATAAGTGATGACCCAGGGCCTAGGGGAGGGGCTCAGGCCTTTCCCTGGCGAACTTTTGCCAGCTCCAGGAGCTGGGGGGGGCGGGGGATGGGGGTGGATTCAGCCTGGATCAGTCCCCTCCCCTGTTAAAACATCAGCTTGCACCTTGCCCCCCAACCCCACCCACTCCCCTTGTCCTTTGTAAAGGCTGAGCTTGAGGCC